TAGGAGCTAGTTGTGGGCACACAGGTAGCCAAAGACATTTTACGTTATTTTTCCATATTTCTTCAGTTGATGAGAGTTGTTTTTAGTGTTTAAGTGTGAGTAGAGGGAGGAAACTAGGGTTTGGGCAGTCCATGGTGAAGGAAAGACCCAATGTTGGTGTCAAGACCAAGTTGGTTCAAGTGTTGAAACAAGTGCAGGCCATTTTGTGTCTTGTAATCGATTACAAGAGCCTTGTAAACGATTACACGAACAAAAGTCTAGTTTTGTATAAAAACTTGTGCTGTAGGAGCCACCTGTGCGCACATAAGTAGCCAAAGGCAATTTGAGTTAGATAACATGCTGTCAACTTTGACCTTTGCTGGCTATTTTAATGATAACTTTTCTCACCGACCTCCAAATGATGTGATTCTTTTTTATTAGAAAATAGACTCAAAAATCTTTCCAATGACTACTAATTTGTAATTTTTGGACATCTGAGTTGGTACAGTTTATTCTTTCAAGTTAGCGTTTCATATATTCTTGCCAACTCTTACCTTTACTTGTTCTTTTGCTCATAACTTTCTCCACCGAACTCCAAATGAGTTGATTCTTGTTTTGTTGGAATCTATACTCAAAGACCTTTCAAATTATGTCATGGTAATCAAGTTTAGGCCTTTTTTGCCATTGTAATCGATTACAAGGACCCAGTAAACGATTACCACAGTGTTTTTTCTGCAGATTAGCTCTGCACTTGTCCAACTTGGTCCCCTAAGTAAGAATGGCTTCTTCTCCACTTCTTGGGGTCACCTCCAATCACTTACCACTCTCTACCACCACTGAAACACCAACACCAAGTAAATACAAGTGGACTTGTGTCTGAAAGTAAAAATTTTTGCCAATGATCACCCATGACACCTGATACAGCTGTCGCGACCGATCAAATTTGATTTGCAATTAAATAATGCAGTATAGCTAGGATGTGACTCCTAGGTCGTCTCTCAAGGACCAATTTGGGTTCAGTCTCAGATCTAACACGAAGTGGGGGGTTTATGGTTTTGGTTTAATGCGAAAAAATTAAAACGGACTAGAAATTAAATATAGAAAAATTAAAAACGTTGAAATAAATTTTAACGACGGTAAAAACTGAACGGTAAAAGACGGTAAAAATAGACAATGGAAAAATTACGCAGTGTTGGAAATTAAAACACAGAACACTAATGACAGTGTAATTAAAATTTACTAAAAGCTTCAGCAAAAATAAACCGTAAAAACAACTCTTGAAAATACCATGACCAGTAAAACACAATGACAGAATTTAACGGTGCAGAAAATACTAAACGGTAAAATACAACAGATAAAATAAAAACACTTAATTGAAAATGGAATTCACCGAAGATTCAACACTTGAAATAAAATGTTTGGTACAGATGAAAATGAAATAGCAAACTGTAAAAACCTCTACTGAACCACACCCTTCAGAAATAAAATTCTATAACATTTGTGCACTGTGAAAATGAAAACCGAGAAGGCTACTGGAAGAGAAAGAGCCGTGAGCTTCTTCCAGGCCTCCAAGGCCGTGTCATTTCTTCTGCTGCAACTGGCTTATATCCTTCTATGGAGAGACAGCCCTCCCCCTTTCTCGGTGTGCCTTCCTAATTTTCTTCCATAATTTGCATTTTTGTCTCCGTAGCATCTTTGACTTTCTTCTACTAAATTGCTCCTAGTCGTGACAAAAGAGGTCTTCTATGTGGTGTCCGTTTGCTTAGGCTTTGCTTAGGCTTCCCCCCATTCACGCAAATTCCTTTCAACCGTGTGCCCCACTCCAAACTGTTGTAGCTTCTTCTGCTGTGCATGCTGGATGAGGTTGTGCTGCTGCCCACCAAGTGTTGGTGCTGGACCAAGCTGCTGGCTTTCATTTCCGTGCACACCATTCCAGCCTCACGTGAAATCAGCTCTTGATGGAATGAATGAAGAATCAAATCCCAGAACATTGCTGGACCGTGAAGGTCTTCTTCAAAGTGCTGCACTTCTTTTTGCTTGCAGCAGGCTGTGATCTCTCCCAGCTGGACCGTGACTTTTCTTGCTCTTTGCTTGTGTATTTCCAGCAGTATAAATCACTACTTATTCCTCCATCACGGAACCTTTTTGGAAGCTACTCTCTCCTGTCACGGTTCCAGCCCTTACCACTTTATTCCAGCCGCCGTGACCTTCTATTTTGCTAAATCACGTTGCAAGCCAAGCAAGATGTGGCGGCCCATTGTCCAAGTACTATTATTGAATATTATAACAAGCTTTCTCCATTTCTTCACTCTGGACGTGCAAAAGTGAACATGGGCCCTCCAAGTTGCTCCATGACTACAAATTTTATAAAGCCAAAAAGTAATGGTAGTATGACCGTGAAACCCTTCTCCACTTTCATTCTAATTTCCACGTTGATGCATGTGCTGGCCGTGAGAAACAAGCCAATTAATGCTTCTTAATTCCCCTTTCACGTGAAGGTCATTTTGGAGCATTATCATTCTTTCTTTAATCTCAATCTCAATTGTGGGCCATGCTATTTTCTTCCTTTAATAAAATTCAGCACATTGTATTTAGGAGTTGCTCCCAACGTGATCTTTCAACCAAGTGGTGGCCCTACTATTTTCTTCACTTGAACGTGAGTGTGGCAGCCTTTGTGTTGTCCAAAACATGTGGTCTTGTTGCCAAAATGAATGTGCCGTGAGTGCTTCTTAGAAGAAATGAATGCCAAAACCGTGACACTAGTGCAAGTCCCTTTTAAAAAAAAATGAAATTCACATCTCTTAACATTTTAGCTTAAAATATAATTGATGTCACATTTTAAGTCTCCAAATATTATCCAACAATTTCCCTACAATTGATAATGCAAGTAATTAACCTCAGATAATTCAAATTAATTAAAATAAGAATTTCTGATCAAATTAAACACAATTAAAAAAAATAGGAAAATAATGGACATTTAAGAACAATTACCTAATTAAATTCGGTACAATAAGCTAAGTGAAATTGAGAAAATGTTGACTCATCAACACCACAGCGGACTACTTCAGTTCAACTTTCTGTACAAAATAGTGATTTCTCTCGTGTAATCGTTTACCTGGCCACTGTAAATGATTAGCACAGTGTTTTTTCTATAGATTAGCCATGCACTTCTCCAACTTGGTCCCTTCAGTAAGAATGACTTCTTCCCCACTTCTTGGGGTCACCTCCCATCACCTACCACCCTCTACCACCAGTCAAACACCAACACCAAGTAAATACAAGTGGACTTGTGCTTTAAATTAACAGCTTTTGCTAATGATCACCCAGGACACCACAACTGACTACTTCAGTTCAACTTTCTGTACAAAACAGTGATTTCTCTCGTGTAATCGTTTACGAGGCCACTGTAAACGATTACGACAATGTTTTTTCTGCAGATTATAGCTCTGCACTTGTCCAACTTGGTCCCCTCAGTAAGAATGGCTTCTTCCCCACTTCTTGGGGTCACCAAACATAACCTCCCAACCAGTAATGACCCTTAAATTCACGTGTATGGTTTTTTTGTCAACAAATTCCACAACTTATATTCATTTCTGAAACCATTGCCTACATTTTAAATACTTATTAATATTCCTGCGTCCTTTTTTCAATATAACACCTTTATTCATTATAACACACAACGTAAAAAGAATTAAATTCATAACACCCAAACCCACCTTTATTCATTATAACACATACCATTTTCCCATTTATAATGCTGGTCTTTGTGGCTTTGTTAATTGTATCGCAGTTTCTTTTGTGTCACACACATTAACAAAACCATGCGTCCTACTTCCTCCAACTTTGTCTTTCTTCCTTCGTTGACTTGCTTCCCCCTTACCCTCACTTCCATGTCTCTTAATATAAAAAATGGTTTAATTAACTTACGCGGAAGATGACTTTCATACTATTCAAACATTTTTCTTTCAAAAATAAAGTGTCTTATAAATATTAATGTTGTATCTTATTTTCCATTATCTATGAACAACAAAAATCCATATGAGAGTGTTGTGGAAGATGAACAGAAGCATGACCTGGAATCCCTGCAAGTTCTTCTTCCTTTGTATTATCATTTTCCATCTCGCAGTTGGTAAAGCAAAGGGCGCCGACGCTGCTTATCATAGAGTTTGCAGTGAAGAAAAGAGCAGTGACAACAGCACCTATCAGGCGAATCTGAGGACCCTCCTCTCTTCCTTATCTTCCAACGCTACAGCCAACGCCAAAGGATTCTACAACAACACAATCCTTGGCACAAACTCCTCTGATACAGTATATGGTCTTTTCATGTGCAGGGGTGATCTTCTCTCTCACGCCTGCAAAGATTGCGTTGCAAACGCAACCCAGACTCTGTCTTCAGACACAGACTGTTCCCTGTCCAAATCGAGTGTGATTTGGTACGACGAATGCATGGTTCGGTACTCCGATCGCTCTTTCTTCTCCACTATGAACACAACTCCCGGATATTGGTTGTGGAACGCGGCCAGTATCTCCTCTAACTCATCAAGCTTCATGAGTTTGTTGGCCAACACCATCAGAGAAACTGCACGCGAAGCAGCCAATTCTACGAACAGGTATTCAATAAAGCAAGAAAACTTAACGGAATCTCAGACTCTATACTGTCTAACTCAGTGCACACAAGACCTTTCACTCCAACAATGCTCAGACTGCCTTGATGAAGCAATATCAAATATTCCAACATGCTGTAACGGAAAGCAAGGAGGAAGAGTTCTGTTTCCCAGTTGTAACATCAGGTATGAATTGTACCCTTTCTATCNCCAGTCAAACACCAACACCAAGTAAATACAAGTGGACTTGTGCTTTAAATTAACAGCTTTTGCTAATGATCACCCAGGACACCACAACTGACTACTTCAGTTCAACTTTCTGTACAAAACAGTGATTTCTCTCGTGTAATCGTTTACGAGGCCACTGTAAACGATTACGACAATGTTTTTTCTGCAGATTAGCTCTGCACTTGTCCAACTTGGTCCCCTCAGTAAGAATGGCTTCTTCCCCACTTCTTGGGGTCACCAAACATAACCTCCCAACCAGTAATGACCCTTAAATTCACTTGTATGATTTTTTGGTCAACAAATTCCACAACTTATATTCATTTCTGAAACCATTGCCTACATTTTAAATACTTATTAATATTCCTGCGTCCTTTTTTCAATATAACACCTTTATTCATTATAACACACAACGTAAAAAGAATTAAATTCATAACACCCAAACCCACCTTTATTCATTATAACACATACCATTTTCCCATTTATAATGCTGGTCTTTGTGGCTTTGTTAATTGTATCGCAGTTTCTTTTGTGTCACACACATTAACAAAACCATGCGTCCTACTTCCTCCAACTTTGTCTTTCTTCCTTCGTTGACTTGCTTCCCCCTTACCCTCACTTCCATGTCTCTTAATATAAAAAATGGTTTAATTAACTTACGCGGAAGATGACTTTCATACTATTCAAACATTTTTCTTTCAAAAATAAAGTGTCTTATAAATATTAATGTTGTATCTTATTTTCCATTATCTATGAACAACAAAAATCCATATGAGAGTGTTGTGGAAGATGAACAGAAGCATGACCTGGAATCCCTGCAAGTTCTTCTTCCTTTGTATTATCATTTTCCATCTCGCAGTTGGTAAAGCAAAGGGCGCCGACGCTGCTTATCATAGAGTTTGCAGTGAAGAAAAGAGCAGTGACAACAGCACCTATCAGGCGAATCTGAGGACCCTCCTCTCTTCCTTATCTTCCAACGCTACAGCCAACGCCAACGGATTCTACAACAACACAATCCTTGGCACAAACTCCTCTGATACAGTATATGGTCTTTTCATGTGCAGGGGTGATCTTCTCTCTCACGCCTGCAAAGATTGCGTTGCAAACGCAACCCAGACTCTGTCTTCAGACACAGACTGTTCCCTGTCCAAATCGAGTGTGATTTGGTACGACGAATGCATGGTTCGGTATTCCGACCGCTCTTTCTTCTCAGCTGTGAACACATCTCCCGGATATTACGTGTGGAACGTGGCCAATATCTCCTCCGACCCATCAAGCTTCAGGAGTTTACTGGAAGACACCATGAAACAAACTGCACGTGAAGCAGCCAATTCTAGAAACAAGTATTACACAAACAATGGAACCTTACCGAAACTTCAGACTCTTTACTGTCTAACTCAGTGCACACAAGACCTTTCACTCCAACAATGCTCAGACTGCCTTGATGAAGCAATATCAAATATTCCAACATGCTGTAACGGAAAGCAAGGAGGAAGAGTTCTGTTTCCCAGTTGTAACATCAGGTATGAATTGTACCCTTTCTATCGCGTCACCGATGAGGCACCTAAAGGACTCGTCCCAGAAACAAATTATGCAAACAGAGATTCTGAATATTCAGAAGATCCTGGCTATATTTCTCACAACTGCTCAAACAACAAACTTGACGCTGATTTCCAATCAAACCTCCGAACCCTCCTCTTTCACTTGTCTTCCAACGCCATCTCTAAACCTGGATTCCAGACTCAAGAGGGAACAGTATATGGCCTCTTCAGGTGCCGTATCGACATTGCTGCTCGCCTCTGTGAACAATGCATCAAAAACGCAACGGACAGAATAACCTCCGACTGTGGGTTGGCTTCTGCCGAGGCTGTAATATGGTACAATCACTGCTGGCTTCGCTATTCCAACATAAATTTCTTCTCCACCGCCGAAACAAATCCGAGATTTTACAATCTGAATATCAGCAACAGCAGTCCGATACAGTCCTCCGTTGCTTCTGATTTATCAAACAAGTTAGCTAAGGTGGCCACAATGACTGGGAACACTGATAACAAATTCGAAACAGATGAATCTCTGAGATTGAACGATAAGCAAACAGTGTACATTCTTGCTCAGTGCTCATCGGATCTATCAACCAATAGTTGCATTGGGTGCCTCAATGATGTGATTGGAACAACAATTCCATGGAGCAGTTTGGGAAGCGTGGGTGGACGGGTTCTGTATCCGAGCTGTATTCTTCGCTTTGAATTGTTCAAGTTTTACAATCTCGCGCCATCTGCTCCTCCTCCCCCACCAGGTTTTTTTATTTCTATTCACCATGATTCCCATGCTAATAAAAGGAAGGACGACGATATATATCCATAATCCAACAGATTTATCTCCTCACTTAACACCCTTATTTTACTATTTTTTCCTTCGTAATAATGATTAAAGTTTATCTTTTCTAGTGAACTGGTTATTCTTAAAACCATATTAAGTTGTTAAATGATTATCAAATCATCATTTTCCTTCCTAAAATAAAATCTTCTTATGCTAAGAGTAAATAATATAGCAGAAAATACTAAATGATCAGTGGTGTGTTTTTATGCAAACACACGTTTTAAATGTCATTATGAAAATTTGGAATTGGAGATAGATTCACTTTGTATTTATACCATAGATTTGTATAAGTTTATAATGTGCGGAACATTCTAGAAAGACATAACCTTATGAGAACTTGTCACCACAGAAGGATAAGACCTTATGAAAATTTACTGTGTTATTAACATTGACATATTTTCTTCAATACTTAAATTTCTAATCTCTGATAACATATTTTTATTTGTGATCTTCGCACTTTGGAATATGAGGTCTGTAGCTTTTGTTTTACAATATTATAAATCTTGCATCAGATTATCTATGATTTTAGCACATAGTGTGGTTCGAATCAAGGTTGGTTTTCTTCACCAATATTTTTTTTTAGTTTATACAAAATAGTCTTTTTTTTTATCAATTTACTGGACTTATTGACATGTGTTTCTATAATGTAGGTGAAAATCACTCAAGAATTATCTTGATCATTACTTCTAGCATAGTTGCATCAGGAATACTTTTCATCTTTTGTTATTATTTGATACGAAGAAAGAACAGAAAAAACAATAGAACTATTCTTCAAGAAAATTGTGAGTATGAAATATTTTTTACTATCTTTTCAATAAAATAGTTTTGAAACAGTTTAAAAATTGATATATTTTTATTTAGTTGGACAAGAAAGTTCAACTATAGAATCTTTGCAATTCAATCTACCAATAATTGAAGCAGCAACAAGTAACTTCTCACATGACAACAAAATTGGAAAAGGTGGATTTGGAGAAGTTTACAAGGTAAAAAAAGGCATGTTAAATTTTATTTCTCATATGTTTCTACCTTTTTAATAAATACTTATTTATATTTTTAGGGCATTCTTTATGATGGACGATCCATTGCTGTAAAGAGACTTTCAAGAAATTCTAGACAAGGCATACAAGAGTTTAAAAACGAGGTTCTATTAATAGCCAAACTTCAACATAGAAATTTGGTGGCTTTCATAGGATTTTGTCTTGATGAACAAGAAAAAATACTTATATATGAATATGTGCCAAACAAAAGTCTAGACTACTTCTTATTTGGTGAGATGCTTTATACATATATATATATTTTATTTTTCTTAATTTAGCATTAGTTAATTATGTACTTATGATGTTTAATGTACTTTATCTTAAACTAATTCAAGAACTTTATCAAAAACATGTATGACTTACATATATAATGATTATTTTTTGTAGATACTAAACAAGAAAAAATTTTAAGTTGGAGTGAGCGTCACAAAATCATAGCTGGCATTGCTCGAGGAATTGTATATTTACATGAACATTCTCGACTTAAAGTTATACATCGTGACCTTAAACCGAGTAATGTACTATTAGATGAAAATATGAATCCCAAAATTTCAGATTTTGGACTTGCTAGAATTGTTGAAATAGATCAAGAAGAGGAAAGTACAAATAGAATTATTGGAACATAGTAAGTTTTTAATACTCTTTCCTACACTTCTCATGCTTTGCATAATATTTTTAAGATTATTTTCTTAACTTTTCGTTGATTATGCAGTGGCTATATGTCTCCAGAGTATGCTATGTTGGGACAATTTTCTGAGAAATCTGATGTTTACAGTTTTGGTGTTATGATTCTCGAGATTATAAGTGGAAAAAAGAATATAAGTTCAAATGAATCGCATCGTGTTGCTGATGGTCTTCTAAAGTTTGTGAGTGCCAAATTTTTGGGAGTTATCTTACTTGATCATTATTTGTGGGTAATGTATAAAGAAAACAATTATTACAAATACAAAAGTGTAATGACACATGCAAGTTTAAAACTTTTTTATAGGTTTGGAGACATTGGAGGGATGAAACAATATTAAGTGCATTGGACCCAAAATTAGAAGAAAATTATTCTAAGATTGAATTCATGAGATGCGTTCAGATTGGTCTATTATGTGTTCAGGAAGATCCAGAGGCTAGACCTACAATGATAGCAATTGTTTCATATTTTAGTAGTCAAACAATTGAGTTGCCATCTCCCCAAGAACCAACATTTTTCTTGAACCACAAAATAAATCCAATTATATCACTTGAATCGAGTTCAGGCCAAGATAGTTCCATACCATCTTCTACCAATACAATATCCATAAGTGAATTTTATCCTCGATAGTTCACTTTTTTTTATATACTATTTATGTTTTAATGTATGCGAGATACTTTGAAGTTTGTTTTGTGATGTATGTTTTCTTAGATACTGTAAGAGATTTCCCCTTAATTTATAATGCATTAACTTTATGCCTTTAATGATTGTAACTTTTTTTATTATAGCTTGCTTTATGTTGACATATGACATGTTTTACATTTTATTATTTAAGTGATAAAACTTGTGTTGAAAAAGAGTAGAAATGTAGAAAAATAATGTATTTTTATTTCAATTTTTAAGATATTACAC